TATCCGAAGCAAGTTGTCCACCTTTCAGATTTCGTAACCTTGAATTATGAAAAGGCAGTAGCAAATTATTGTTCGTCTACCGGTCTAGCGTGTGTAGAGGCCAACAAAATGATAGCCTCAGGCATAACTATACGACAGGTTGAAGTTTCATTCACTTCCATTATACTTTTCCCTTCCTCTGCACTCTATATGCTTACGACTACCTGCTTGAGTAAGCTCAACCGAACAGTTTAACAACAATTATACATTTATACAACCGATTGATCATGTAAAAATATATATTTTTAAACTCTTGTTTTATGTTTTCTTAAGAAAAACATGCTTAAGTTTATCTAGCATAAACAATTTTTACTATACTTCAGATAGTAATTGTTCATTTCTTACGCTTCTAACGTAAAGTATTGATGTTATAAAAAATTAAATACATTGTTCTAAGATTGAAATTGTGCCTGGGAGCGTGTTTAAATTTAAAAAAAAACCAAGCAAAAAATCCGGAAAATTCCGCATGAATATGTTTTATAACGGTTAAAAAATTTTCAAATATATAAACGATTAATTTAAATACTGAAATTGAGTAAGCCGCCATTTTGAGAAGTTTAATGTGTATTAAACGTTTCTAAAGGCGGAAAATTTATAATTTTAACTTGAAAAAAAATACATAAAAAAACTATTCGAAATATCCCAAGGTGAAGTAATATTGTTTATTGTTTATTTAGTGCTTGCCACTTCATACCAATACATGGAACGAGTTTGGTGTCTAACCCAATTCTCAGTAGTCTTTTCATCTACAATGACTCACCAACCTGCTACTGTAAAACATTAACAATTACTTTATAACTGTATAAAAGTTAAAGTTTAATTTTCTATTTATAGTAAGGTATAATTCCCATGTTACTACGAGCGGTCACCCCGCAGGTAGCAATGGAAGTTCCCTGGACGATTTCCTGTCTCCAACATATAAAAATATAGAATAGAATTTAATCTTATATAATGCAATTTTCCTTGCATTTTTCATGGAATTTCCTGTAGAATCTAAATAAAATTATAGAAATTTTGACCTGATTTTCATCTAAACATTGTAAATTTATGAAATTTATAAAATATGATTTAAAAATTACATAATTTTTTTAACAAATTTTAGCTCTAGAATGCAACTTATTACTCATTTTTTTCCACTAGAATCTATAAGAATTAGATTTTCAGAGCCTTCTTTATCTCAACACTTATAAATTATCAAACCCATCAAAATTTGACGTATATTTTTTACCGAATTTCATCTCAGAATACAACTTAAATCCATTTCTTCTACAATTCTGGATCTATTTTTCATTTCAACTAACTCAATTTATGAAATATAAAATTCTAGTTTAAAAAAAAAAATACTCATTTCAGCCTTGAAAATACAACTTTTTAAACTATTTCCTTCACATTCCAAAAAAAATATTGTGTAAATTTTGGTGTCAGAACAATCCAAACATACAAAAAAATCTAAGAGCATCTACCTTAATTTCGACCCTGGAAATCTAATCTCCAATGTATTATTTTAATAGAAAAAAAATCTTAGAAAATTTTGTTAAATATTTTAAACTCGACCCTCAACTCAATAACAAGAGGTCTAATGTTATGTCTCTCCACCAGTTTTACTTGTATAATTATCTTCGACGTCGTAAAACATTGTCATTGCTTTTCAAACAATTTGCCAGGTTTTATTTCTCCCATAGACAATCTGGACTATTTCCAAAGAAAAATATATACATATATATCTATATATAGATATATATATATATTTTTATTTTTATTCTTTTTTAAGGTGTAGTTGGGTTAGTTTTTCCCCCCTTAAAATATTTTTTTTTCTTAACATTGTTATACGTATTTGTATAGGAACGGTTGGAATTTCTTCGTGGCGCCATTATTGCTATCGTCGGGCTAATGAAAACTATTGTTACTGCTTTACAACTATACTATAGTGGTAGTACTTGTTATAAGATGCTATATTAACATCACAGTAGGGTGGTAGGGGTGATGTTTCACGTATTTATCCTGTCGCCTGTGTTATGTGAATGCTCGGAATTCCTTCGTAAAAAATTACTTTTTCTATATTTTTTTAACCCATAAAATATCGTTCCCACGTGTGTTTTCTCTTCTTTAGTAGCTATATAATTGTTTCCATAATCATTATTTACCATACTTACCAGAAAATCTAGATCTTTACGCTTCTTTCATCTTCGAAAGAACCGTGTTGCTGTAGTTATTACTACTATAGAATTGGATATTTTTAGTAAAATGTTGTTAAATTAATTAATTTAAAAGAATTTTCATGAATATTTACCATTTATTTTTCATAAAAACATGATCTTGTTGTTCCTTTCTTAAGTAATTAGAGCTAGATAATAATATAACCATGCTTCTAACAAAGAATTGATGGTAAATTGTACTTATAATTGTTATTATTTATCATTGTTTTGAAAACATATCAAATTTATTCCATGATTATTGCTCAGTTTTTATATTTAAGAACAAAACTTTTCCATAATTCTTGTTACTAAGTTGCTGGAAGTAGTCTACTTTCCTGTACGTTGCTTCAATGATTTTCATGCTATGTAATGAAAATTGTTTCCATAATTATAGTTAATTTGATACGTTTAAACAATTAAAAGAAATTATCAAAAAATTCCTATAGGATTTTTCATAAAATTTGTATTTTCGGGAGACAAAATTGCAGTTTTTATACTCTTAAAAAATTCAATTTTTAAAGGTTAAATAATTGAAATCTTATAAAAATTCAAATAATATAAAAACAAAAACATCATTAACCATAAATAGTTAATAATTACATAAATTTCCACATAAAAAACACAATAGAAAAGCTAAATTTAATCATCTAGGGACGTTTAAGTTTCAAAAATCTTAATTTTCCTCGTGTGTATATACGTGTGTATATACGTGTGTGTGTTTATATGTGATTCATCGTTGAACTATTTTGAGAAACATTGATTACCAGGAAGTGCAACAGATATATTTTAACGTTATTTTGTTGTCAGTAATTTTGTTTTTCTTCTTCTCCTTCTTTCTTTACATAGTTTAAAGACTCCTTGCGCTGGTTTTCGTGAAAATTTCATTATATTTGTGAGCACTTTATAAGATTTAACAATTTCTAAATTAAGAATTCTTACATAAAAGAATTGTTTCCAAGATTTAGCAACACATAAACATAGGTTAAATGGGGGAAAACAAGTGTAAAAGGGCAACCCGCCTCTGTGGCGTCTTTAAAACCAGTTGGGAGGTCTTTGTGATTCGATTCTCTCTCATCCAACACGAAATTTTCGTGGAAAACATTCTTTATTTTAATTTTCCGACTGTTTTTTTTAGTCTTCTATGTGTTTTTAAATAGCTATAATTTGTAAAAGTGCGTGTTGACTCTGCCACATAACAGTGTAACAGTGAACCTAACGACCCTCGTTAGAATCTCATCTTTCACCCTCCAGAAAATTAATTTTTTTTGAAGCTTTCCTCTATTCTACGGGGTTTTAAAATTAAATTATTATTTTATTTTTAAATTTATCTTCATATTTTACAGAAATTAATAAATTCTAACAATATACAATTACATATTTTCCTGTAAGTTAGCATTGTTTCGATTCGTTTCCATTGTTTTTAACGTTTTTCCTCATACATTTTTCATAGATTCACATCATTTTTTAGATAAATATATAAAATTCTTTAGTTAAAAATAATTTAACTTTAAAGTTAATGTTAATTATTCCATTTTCTTAACCTGAAGAGCAATTGTTACTAAGTAATACACGCACCCTTTATAAACATGACTTCTTCTCTGCTTTAATTTTCAACCCATTAGAGACTCAATAAAAGAATATTATTAAGCAACATTCGCACATTCGTGTTTCTTAGAAAAAATACATTTTCCTTCCTCAAACTCTTTTAATTAAATAAAAACTACTTAATACATTGTAACCACTTTAGGGACGATTTATTCTAATAACAGTCGATAAAAATGCTTATTTTATATTCTTTGTATTATATACGAGAGTGCTAAAATCGGGAAATCTTCTTAACGAACAAGCTTACCTCTGTACAGCCCTACTAAATTATAGATAGGAAGAGGGGCCTAGAGCAATATCTTCACTAATTTCCGGCATGCGCTTACCAGCTGACTCGATAAGGTTAAGGGTCAGCAACTGCTTTACTTCTTTAATATCTCCCCATCTGTTTGATGTGTACACAATCTGGATGTTTAAAGAACTGGTTCGGTGCAGAAGGGAAGTTTTAATAATGTAACATCATTAAAAATGTTAAGGGATAACTTATAGAATAAGGCAATTGTCCTGATGCAACGATTTCTTAGGCACAAAGAATTGAAAATTATTCATTTTTATAATTAAAATATTACCTTTTAAATTGATAAATTCGATTATTTTAATAAATAATAAAGATATACACCTCTAAGTTAGTTATAAAAAAAAAGGCCTCACAAAACATTCTAAATCAACAGAATCTTTTGCACTGTATAATTTGAATAAAAATGCTTCAATTTATCTTACGATTTGAATGGAAAGGCCTCAAATTATCTTAAAATCTTATACAAAAAAAAACCCCTCAATTTACGTTAAAATTTTAACCAAAAGGCCTCAATTTATCTTATAATCTAAATGAACAGGCGTTAATATATCTTAAAATATAATTTTCAAAAGACCTTAATTTATCTTAGAAACATTGTAAAAATAATTTTTCAATTTATCTTATTACTTTACTGTAAAGGCCTTAAATTAATTTTTTCCCCTCTTAATCTTATTCAAAAGACTTTAATTTATCTTTAAATCTCACTAGAAAAACTTCAATTTATCTTTGGATCAAATTCAAAAGGTTCTAATTTATCTTAAAATCTTATTCAAAAGGCCTTAATTTATCTTCAAATCTTGATTTTGTTCTCGATTTTATCAAAAGGTTAATAATTCTTCTAGATCTTTAGTTAAAATTTTAATAAATTTAAGGGAAAAAACATAAAGAAAATAATTAAAATTTCTTAATAAAATTCACATATTTTAATAGTAAAATGTGTTTAATATTAAGTAAAATTAATTTTTAGAATATATTTTAATTAAAAAAACAAAAAATTTAGCGTAAAGGCCTCTTAACTCTACAATTTTTGAGAAATTTTCTATAAATTTTAAGCTTTTTTTTTAAAAAAAATCCATTTTTAAAAGAAAATTTCTTTCTAAATTATTAAAAATTAATTAAATTTTAATAATTTTAGCAATATTATAAATATTTTTCCTAGTGTCGAACACGGCATACGATTATAAGTAAGGTAGTATGGTGTCATGTCGTACAGTAAATGTATTATGTGCGTGGACGTGATTCGTACAGTCGATAACGTTACGTTGATGCCAACGAACGTCAGTAAAGCGCCTCTTCCGTACCAAGTCATCTACAGCTCCTCCCATTCCGTTACACGCGGTTGAACAAATCAAGTTTAGATCCTCCCTCCTGTATTCGAGCGCTATTGGTTTATAAATGTGTCAATTTCTTTTTTTGAAAATTCGAATATTTCTGTGCAGATTTTTCGTTTCTTTTCGTCTTTAATTCTTAAAAAAAATATTCAAAAAATTAATAATTTATACTTCAGCACGTAGTTTTATCATTCAATTCTTTGAATCATACGTGATTCACCAATTAGTATATAAAGTTAATGATCGTCTCACTCTAATTATTGAAGATTAAATAGTAATTAGGACCTGAAATGATTCTTTTCTTTACTAATAGTTAAAAAGTATAATAGCCTCTTAAACGTTTAGTAAAATGTTGCATAAAATGTACAGTATATGGTGTATTGTACACTATGAAACCTACTCATTATTCATAACGCGCTTCTTTATTTGATGGAGAGATAAGGTAGACTCATGCTTAATAAATTCGTCATGGTTCCTCACGAAACTTTTCAATCTTAACCAAATTTGGCATACGATTAAAGAATCTGTATCTTTATACATGTGTCAAATTTTAAAATTCTAGCCCTCGTATTTCGTGAGTTATTTATTCTCTTTTGTATTATTTACTGATTTTACTATATAAATAGCATACAACTGAAGTTATGGTTCCCAACGAAATAGTTCGATCGTAATTAAATTTGGTACTTAACCGGAAATTGTGAAAATCGAATCACACAGCAAATTTTAATGCCGTACTCTTCATAGATTTTTAGATATTAGCGATAGTATTTTCAAACTCTTCATTATATTGATCTGAAAATCCGATTGTGGTTCCTCTTCAAATAAGCCAAACGTAATTAAATTCTGCCAGAAATAAGGAATTATACGAATAAAACTAATTATAAATTTTCGTAATTGTAGTCTTAATAGATTTTGATATATAAACGACTGATTTTTGCGATTCTATAGCGTATGGAAATCATAAATTCGGTTGTGGTTCCTCAATAAATAAGCCTACCTTAATGAAATTCTGTATATAAGAAGAACAATATGCCAAACTCTTACAATGTTACAAGTAACATAAATAAATATCACACACAATCTAATTAACTCACGCACAAAGTTTCATAACTCTAACCATAACGGTTACGGAAATATTACCAAGTCAATTATAAAAACTCATTAGTGCTTTTTTTCCTTATATAAATAAGTATAAAATTAATTAAAAATTTAAAAAAATATAGTGTTTTAAACAAGAAGAAATATATTAAACTATGCCATTCATAAAATAGATGTTGCAGATTGTATCCGAAGCAAGTTGTCCACCTTTCAGATTTCGTAACCTTGAATTATGAAAAGGCAGTAGCAAATTATTGTTCGTCTACCGGTCTAGCGTGTGTAGAGGCCAACAAAATGATAGCCTCAGGCATAACTATACGACAGGTTGAAGTTTCATTCACTTCCATTATACTTTTCCCTTCCTCTGCACTCTATATGCTTACGACTACCTGCTTGAGTAAGCTCAACCGAACAGTTTAACAACAATTATACATTTATACAACCGATTGATCATGTAAAAATATATATTTTTAAACTCTTGTTTTATGTTTTCTTAAGAAAAACATGCTTAAGTTTATCTAGCATAAACAATTTTTACTATACTTCAGATAGTAATTGTTCATTTCTTACGCTTCTAACGTAAAGTATTGATGTTATAAAAAATTAAATACATTGTTCTAAGATTGAAATTGTGCCTGGGAGCGTGTTTAAATTTAAAAAAAAACCAAGCAAAAAATCCGGAAAATTCCGCATGAATATGTTTTATAACGGTTAAAAAATTTTCAAATATATAAACGATTAATTTAAATACTGAAATTGAGTAAGCCGCCATTTTGAGAAGTTTAATGTGTATTAAACGTTTCTAAAG